ATGATATTGATATGGGTATTATTTAAATTACTATTTTTGTTTATTAATTTAACTATTGATTAAGATGGTGAATAGATATCTGCAGAAGTACAAGTATATTTTTATAAAAGCTTATTGTATTTTATGAATCATTAAATAAAAATGTGATTATTCGATTTTAGGTAACATAAAGGTATACTCAGTAAATTCATCAAATTTACAGTATCGACTATAATACCAACTACCTAGATTCTAAAATTCCAAGTCTATAATTTTCTCCGAATACTGCTGAATAAGAAATTATATAATAATAATGATAGGTATACAATGATATGTATGTTAATTTTAAATTTATCGGATATATTTTAGATTTTAGATTCTGAGCGGATCGATGACTGGATTAATTTTACAACGATGTTTTCTTCAATTTTTAAATTTTTAAAATGATTTTTTCTTGTGGTCTGTGTGAACGTTAAGTATTCATAATAAGGAATCAATTTTCATATATAATATTATATTATAGGCACTCAGAATGTAATCATATATTTATTTTTAGTTTAGTTGTAGGTATTTAGTAAATAATAATAGGTATACGAAATTGTGTTTTCGAATAATAATTTATTGTTTGCATTAGTACCTACACCATAACAGGGAACTAAAATGTTGTACTAAATGTTTTTATTTAGTAGGTGTAGTGTATAAATGATTTACAAATGTAGTTTTGATGTTTAAAGGATGTTGTAAGATCAATTTATGAGATCCTTGCATTTAATTGTTAGGATTTTTGTATACGAATAATTATTTTATAGAAGATTTTTACATATATATAAGTCAATCAGAAATTATTTACACTGAATGTTGATGGTAAAAAGCTATTAAAATATCTATTATTTGTATTTATTTGTTAATAATAATTAGGACTTAAATATTAGCAGTAATCTTGTTCCTTTCACAAAATGTTTTTTAAATATTCTCAATTTGATTTACATTTATATGTTTGGCATTTATCTTAAAGTGATCTCGGAAGTCGGAATAATCATTCAATGATGAATTTAATAGTTACATTCCCGGTTACATTAATTATTGGATTATAAATTAGAATAAACTACAGTTTCCAGCTTCTACTACAACATTATTTTATATTTTTTTAATTTTTAAAATGCAGTCTGCACTTTGTTCCGGTGATTTTACACGTAATATAATAAAATTGATACTAGTGATTTTTACCCGATTGTTAAATTCAATTATTTACAAAATTCTTAATTGTATGAGCCATACATATTACATATTATATTTTTCGAAAAAATTATTTAATGTCTCACGGGTTGATCTAGCAACTGACTGCTACGACAACTGTGCAATTTTTTAAGCATAATCCGTTTTGATAAAATCCAGAAAAGAGTTTGTCTTAAGACTGTCTGTCTTGATAACAACTAATTTAATTTAAAGTGTATTGTTATATTAGATGATAATGGAAAATAATAATTATAGTAAAATATATAATTGCAAAACATTTAATATCTAGCCATATAGGGTATAAACTACACTAAAAAAATTGTGAGTATGCTAATAAAATACAAGAGGTTTATAATGTATTTATGTATATAAAATATAAAGATTGATAACATTATATTGTTTTAAATACTTCACGCAAAACCTAAGGTGATACCCGGCTTATAGTATACCTATGCAAAAAGGCACTTATTAAACTTGGAGTAGTGAAACGAAAACGGACTTTGGACTGTTCGGTCTCGCGTATTTTATACATGGCGCTTTTAGGATTAAACTTATAAATGCTTCTACGTCACCCAGTTAACAGATTGTCCGGGGCAATAAATATTTAATTTAAGTCTTAAAGTAAATGTAAAATACTAAAATAGCAATAATATGAAAACAAACTTACGCGTAAACATCGACTCTTCCGGTGAAATCTAGCTAGAGTGCCGCCGTCGCCGAAAAAAACGGCTATATTCATCCATCATCATCTTGCTCAGAACTGAAACTTGAAAGTATCGAAATATTTAATGAAAATAATCTGACCATAACGAAATGTGTGAATTTGTGCTAACAAACTGTCCGTATATATTGATCGTTTATTATTTTTTTGTTCACTGAAATTATTAGAATTGTTAATCGTCGCCGACGAATGTCGACAATAATTGACGATAGCCATAGATATTATTATAAAATATATTATTTACTAAGATAAATCCATAGAACTTATATACTATACTCAGTACCTAATCGGTCTTTGTTAAATCGTACGTACTTTTACAGAAATTTTTGTGATCAGCAATGTACTTATTCTGGTTTTCTATTTCATTCATAGTTCGCATGCCAAATTTAACTATCCGAAACTGGTCCGCAAATGTATAGACATTCTATTAAATTACAATGTGAATTATTATAAGTCTCCTTTGTGGTACGTGCCAAAAACTCGACTATACCGGGATTTAAATTTAAAAAAATGTGATTTAGGTAACCTATTGGCTATTGATCTATTATAAAATAGAAACTGAACCTACCAATAATATCACTTTATAAAATAATTAAATGTGATAATTAGAAGACAATTTCTTAAAACCTCTAAAATATTTTTTTAATTTAGTGTTATAAATTTATTATCTAGTTAAGCGCTCAAGCAAATTTTTCAATTTTTTTTTCTTCGGTAACCCATGTGTTGCGACCAATTAAGATGTATATCTATGATGCAAAAATTAACTGCCGGAAATTATTAGTTTTTATGGTAAAGCTTTACGAAGTTCACGATTTTCGGTGTTTTAAGTGCTTGTAAAAATTTTGTTTAAAAAGAAAACCACCATCATTTTTTATTTTTGTATAGGTACCTAAAATATAAAAAATATATTATTATACATATACTTCAGGGCCCCGCATACATTGAATGTGTCCGGGGTCCCAAGAATCCTAATTGCGGCACTGGTAGGTACCATCTATTAACTATTAAGTATAGATATTACATGTATTTTTACTGTTATTAATTATTATTATATTTTGTCATTTTGTATTATTCGAAAGTAGAAAGTTATTATTTATGAAAAATCGATTTTCTTTTATAAATAGTATGTTTATTATTATTTATATTTGTTTCTTAATAATTAATCAAAGAACTCTTTTATAGTGAAAATTGATCATCATATTACTTGACCAAGGAGAAACAAAGTACATTTATACGTAACTATATATTATATAACGCACTCTATTGCGTGTTTAAATGTCACGATTTTTATATAATATAATACTGTTTCATCTGGTATCCACTGTATGTACCTATCTTGTTTGATCGACGTGTGGTACTACGTAGACAGTAACTAAACTATTTTATTTTATATAGAACAGTCCATAGACATATGTCTACGGAACAGTCGAACAGTGTTGTTGTGATCTAAGTACCTTTTTTTACATTTTATTATGGAAATATAGACATCACATCTGACGCATATTAGATAATAATACAAGTAGGTAGGTATTATTATCTAATATGCGTCAGATGTGATGTCTATATTTCCATAATAAAATGTAAAAAAAGGTACTTAATACTTATATTACAACTCAAAACACAAACAATTATAAAAAGTAAAAACTATTATATTATAGTAAAGTAGGTATATTGATGTATGTACGAAGTAGGTACCTAAGTAGATTGTAGATATCGATATGTAATATTAATATAATATAATTATTTATTACCTACCTATTATGTCATTATGATAATATAGGTAATTGATTATAATTTATAACTGTGTGGCCCTTATTACATATTTTTCACGGTACAAAATATGTACATTATCCACGGCTATTATTTTAATTTATAACTATTGTTTATAAATTATATCGTAAAATCGTTGCCATCATTCATCAACATCTTAAGATCATACAATGTTTTTGTCGTTTATGATCGAAGACAGTAGACCGTAGTGGCATAGTCTATGGAATACTATTATTCCTTATACTATGGTCTATACTGGGGTGCGTTTGAATATGGATAGTTAATAGTTATAGAGTAAGTGCCTACTATACATATTGTTTATCTCGGTGTTATATCTATATATGTTTACCATGTGTTATTTACTATTCAGTACCTATATAGTTTAGCTAAGGTAAGCATTAACTAGTTAAAATAGTTTAAGTTTAGCTAAATATTTAGTTTACCTATTTTTAACTTAACTAGTTAAAAATATTTTTAAATTGTTGGTTTTAATGGTTTTATACATAAAATAATAGTACCTAATCAAATACTATAGGTAATAATAATAATAATAGTAATGGATGATACAATGATATTTATTGAAATTTCTGTTTCTTAAACATATAAAATAATATCATATTATAGAAAGAATAGAAAGAAACAAAATACTCTTAATGTGAGCCACCTGCCGCTTAAAAATGTAGATAGAACTTTTTTTTAAACAGAGTTAAGTTAATATTTTCTTTAGACTAGACTGAGAGTTAAATTTTTTATTTGTTAACTAATAACTTCTAAGTTAACAACCTTGTATTCACTTAACTAACATGACTTGGGTTACATATATTATTCATTTTATTTAAATGCCCACCTTTAGCTTTAGGTCCTAGGTAATGAGGTATTTACAATATTTACATTTTCACATTTCCAGTATAAATGTATTATCTACAATAGGTATCTATGTAGTTTAATAATATTACCCACTATTTCTTTTAAATGTAACAATGTAACAACTAACTACACCTAATTTTATAAGTTTAAATTTATACAAACTACATATTAAGTAGTATGTTCATACTTTTATTGTTAAAATATCTAAAGCCGCTTCCTTACAGTAGTGGTGTACTTTAAATGTAAGATCCTTATTTTTAGTTTCTTTATCTTGTCTGCAATATTGAGTGTAGATAACTCTAGTCTCTAAGATTTGAATAATTTTATTGTGCCTTCATCAAATTGTATCATATATAAATTATAAGTAATTATATTGAAAAAGTGAAATAAGATGAAAAATTTGGCTATTAGAATATTATTATATTTGTCAAACAATTATGAAATATGTTGTAATTTCTCCTCTACATAAAGGGCATCTGTAGTATGGTATTGTTCTGTATGGCGGCATCCTTATGTATGTTTGATGGCAAGGAGCACACAATCCTTGATGTCTACATGGTATTGCTATGACAGTGGGCATTGAGTAAAGGCATATATAACAGCTTTCAGATATGATTGGTTCAACTGAAAATTCAAAGTATGTTAATTAATTAAAGTATATACATTTTAATAATAATGTGTATTATGCATGCATGATTAATGATTATATATTTTTAGTGTAATATTTATTTACTGGTCAAGTCTTCAACACTAATATATGTATTATCCGGTAATACTGGATGTGGTATATTTTCTTCTTCTTCATTGTCCAGCCCATGAATAAAATGCAATACTAAAAATAAAAGAATATTAGGACTATTACCTATAGTTGTATCTAAGTGAGTATATTCAATTTTACTATTTATTTCTCCATCAACAATAGGCCATCTTTCTAAAATAAATTCCCTGGCATTAACTGGTTGCCGATTCTCAACAACCGGTTGTATTTCAGGAAGTGGAAGTGGTTGGGCAATATGTATGGGTCTGACTACTCCAAAATTTGGGGTAACATGTTTAGTACATGCCAAAAATTCAGATACTGTGTAACGCCCTTCAGCTAACAGCCTAGAAGCCAAATCGAGGTTTCGCTGGTGGTCTATCCAGATTTGCCGTTGTGGTTCCCTGACCTGGATACCATCAATTGCCAAATTGTAATCGGCCAATACACCACTTTAGTATGTAATTAACCCTTCTGCAAAATTTAAATGTTTTATAAAACCTATCATGGTAGATTATATATTTTTGTTAGACATTTACGGTGCCTTATAGTGATAATTAATTTAAATTTATGAAGACAAAAATGTTTTTATTAAAAACAGTATGTACAAGATAAATAAGTAAAAATTATAAAATAAATTACTTAAAAACACCCATGGTTCTGGTTGATGCATATTACCCATGTGCATGCGGAGGTGTTGATGGCTAACTTCCATTACGTTGTTTGTCCGCCAAATAACACTGTTTACGGACAAGATGTCTGCATTTGGTCCTGTATAAGGTATACATTATGTTTTTAAATACACTGTAATTGTTATTCATGATTTCTCAATCAGTGTCAGTATTTTACTATTCATATTTAAATTATTAACAACTAAATAAATTTAAATAAATATGTAAATTTAATTTAAAAAAAATTTGTTCAATTACTTAACACGTTCACGGCCACAGTATAATTTAGGAAGTTGTTTAAAAATACCAGGACATAAAAAAAGATTTTTTAGTTACCTTCAATGAATATTACTTATATTGCTATCTAGTGGTCAGATTTAAAAACCAAATACACGTACACCAATCGATACGTAAAGAAGTGTTTAAAAAAACCATATTATCATAATATTTATTAGAATAAACCAGAGTCGAATAATTCGTATACAAATCAATGGACCTGATGTCAACTATACTTGACATGGGTTTATATAAAGGAAACCCCATGTCAACTATAGTTGACACTTGGCCGTGAACGTGTTAAACAAAGTTCTTTGTTATTAAAATTGACAAATAATTTTACAACTATGCTAAGTAAAACTAAAATGTTAAAATGTAATGCATCATATTCCTATATCATCTTCTTCTAATATTTTTCAGGTTTAACAAACCTTGGAGCCATGTAGATTTGTAATACTGGAAATATCTTTGGAATATTCTACAGCTTTCCACTGGCAAACTATTTTCAACATTTTCTGTGTAAAATTGTCTTATAGAAAGAGAGCCTTCCATCACCTTATCCACGGGCAAAAGTGGTAATGCCATTAGCATATGTACGATGTCATATGCATTTCGATGCCCGGTACATATTTCTATCATTCCTGTAATACATTTAAGATTATTTAATATATACTTATTGAACTATCAAAAATATTTATAAGCTTACCAAATTCTCCAACTTTTCTCCACAGAGCTTGAGAGCTATGGAACCAACAACCCCTTATCGTAACGTTATTGAAAATTGCTTTCAATGACACCATTCCATTCTCTCAAAATCTACAATAATTGTTTGTGGTGTCCACTGTGGCTCAATTTCTAATAGCCGTTTAAATAAGGTATTGTAAGCCCTCGCTGTCTTTCTTGACATCAAAGCAAATGCAATTGGGAATCCCTAAAATACAAACATTTTATAATTTATAAAATGTATACACAGATAGATACCTAAAGTTTAAGGTAAGCTGCCATGATTATCACATTATAATATTTGTATACATGAGTATAATTATTTTTAGGTATAACTCACGGTGTTGAATGTTATACCCATTATAACATATAGCTGTTGACACTCCCGGTTAAATGATGGAGCAGCAGCAAATGTACCATCCATCAAAAACGTTGATCCAGTCCTCAGTATACTGAAAAAGAAAACAAATAGGTTTTATACAGTTATTATAATTTATTTACATAGATACCTATCAAGATAATTCATTTTCTAATTACATACTACATAGTATTTACTTTTTAATTTCTGGTAATACAAACAACATTGTTATAGTTTCTTCGGGGTCAGTGCCTATTTTTCCCATATAAATAGGTACATTATCCATCACTGGAAAATGAACATAGTCTCCAGTCAATTGGTAATGGAAATCGGTCATGGTTTGTGGTGATGTTGGTTGATTAGATTTTCTATGCCTTTGCATGGTTCGCCGATGAGATATAAATGGACCAACATTTTTATTAATGAATTCAGGCACTTCAGACGTTTCAGAACTTGCCTAAGATATTAATAATATAGTATAAATGATTTAATATATTTATTTTTAATACAATGTAGATATATTTTTAAATAATATAAATACCTCATTGTAAATTACACGAAGCGAAATCTGTTCATTTTTGGAACGTTCGTTACAAATACTTCTAAATTTTGATACAATATATAAGTTTCCTACATGATTGTTTTCATGACCAACAGTTAACACAAGTTTTGTTTTATCATTTTTTGATATTTTACCTTTTGCTTTACACCTAAAACAAGAAAATATAGCTATATGAAAAAGATTTTGTAAAATTAACAAACTTCAGAAATAAGGCTGTTTTGTTTTGTTTTATTTTCAACAATTACTATAATTATTATTTAATAGCATATAATATTTATTAATAATTAGTGGATAGTAATTAGTAAAAAAATATATTTTTTTTTTAAATTTAAAACTTGAAAGTTCTATACACAAAAAAGAACTTAAATCGAGTATTTGTTATTTAATGAAATTAAAAATTAAGCATTGTAACTATTATGCATACATTATGCCCTTAATAATTTATGTTAAAATGAAAAGCGTAGTTTCTTGCTCAAGACACCCTTTTATATGGAAAACTCTCACGCCTCGTTGAGTGGTCTAGTTTAATTAATTTTGTGTTTGTTAGAAAGAAGGTTTTCCACAAGGCACATTGTACTTTGAATTTTAATTTCGTCGTTTAAACAATAGAAATAAAAAAAAAACAAAAATGTTGTGAAAATCGATAATATTGTAAATTGTATTGATATCAATATTGATCATATTGAAAATGGTTTAGAAATACAATTTTGAAAATTCAAGTCCTATACGCCTAAATAGAGTGTTCTCTTTCCAAAAACAAATTATTAAGGCTCCTCTTAACAATGTATTATAGGTACCTACTATCAGAGGCGCAAATAGGGGGAGGGGGGCTTGGGGGGCTTAGCCCCCTCAAAATCACTCAAAGCCCACTCAATTAATAACAATATAATATATATTATAATTTTCAAAAAAAATATTCGGGGCTTGAGCCTCCCTAAACATTTTTCCTATTTGCGCCAATGCCTACTATAATAATAAATAGGACCCGGATTTATATGCTCTAAAAACCTAAGAAATGTGCACTATAAAATATGCATTTATGCTCTTATTTTATAGAAATAAAACGTATAAAATAAATAATATGCAAAGAAATCGATAAAAAAGAGTCTTTTATTTTCATTATTTTTATAACTATAACTATAAATACGTTATTTTAATAAAAATAAGGAAAATATTACATATTATGCATTTAAGAACAGTAAATATGCAATAAAAAATCGTAAAATACAGAAATATGCAGTAGCCAGTAGGTACATGCAAAAATATGCAAAATAAAACTTTATATTTCGGATCTATTGATTACAAATCAAACTTGTAGTTTGCCTAGCTATTTTTTGGACTATTCAGAAAAAAAATGCAAATGCATATAAATCCGGGCCCTAGACTAATAAAGTAGGTTGAATTATTTTTTCCGAAAAAATTACATTTTAAAATGTCGCTGTGTAATGTGTGTAAAACATAATATACTTGAAGAAGTTTCAAATACCCACTAATAATATTTTTAAATCACGACAAAATAACTAAAATCGTTATTCTTTTTTTAAATATCTTAAAATATCTATAAAACAAACTATGGTTATATCAGATTTTTTGGTTACAGTTCAACATTTTATAAACTTTTAACTACTAAACAATTTGAACTTATTACAAAAGGTATAAAAATATTTGTGACTATATTTTTAATATTTTTTAACTGCTATTATAACAACTTGAGGAACCTTGTATAGTATTACATTTTAGTATTTTACACCCATCAAAAAACATATAATTTACATTTATTTAAAAAAAAAATGTAAAAAACGAAAATGTCTTGACGATAAATATCTCAAAAAGAGTCAAAATATTTTGACTACCTATATCATAATGTTTACATTTTATAATGAATGCCATACTGTTTTACAATTACATTAAGTTAAAACATGGGTATTTACCCGGTCTTCCACAAAGAACATCTGACAGTCGTATGCGATTTACAGTCCAATTTCTTCCAATAAACAAATCCATCTTCATCTTAGGCGCAATTTTTAGGCTTCAACATAGGCGCAATTTGGGGGGGCTTGGGTGTGCTTAGCACCCCCAGTTTTGAAATTAGCACCCCCAAATTTGATCACGTTGTTTTAGATTTTAATTGTCGGCATGTACAGAAAAACAAAGTTTTTATTGTATTATTATTTATTACATTTAAATTTTAATTATGTGATGAAACGTTTTTGTATACTGTATGCAAACAGTAATAAAATAACTTAATAACATGTAATTCTGTAATCGGTATACCTAATCACATCTTATAAAAATATTTTACAATTAAATCAAAGAGAACAGTTTAAATTTAGATTATTTGATGTTGTTAACGTAAATACCATAGAACATATAAGTTGTAAATACCGTAGCGGTGGCGATAACGGACGGCCGCATTTGCAGTGTGACTAACCCCGATGTACTACAACTAAATTGTTCTGTGCTACAACCACGATTAAAGATATACCTAGATTAGGCTTTACTTAGTTAATATTAAATTTGTAATTATTGAATGGGTATTGTACGGGTTACAGCCGTTGCAGGTATCCATTACCATAAGATAATATCAAAAAATAGAGGGGTTTCAGCACACCCAGTTTTTTCATTGAAATTGCGCCCCTGACTTTGAACGTATTTCCTTGGGCTCTTAATTTTTCTAGTGTTGAAATTATTTTTTCCATATTTTAAATTAGTTAAAATAAAGTTTTAAAATATCGAAGACGTATATAACTTTTATCTTTTGGCTTGATTGTTAGCAGCAACAGTTTTGAACCAAATGAAAATGAAATTTGTTCAGGGTAAAATTGTATGTATGTATTTATAAATATATTTTGAATGGGTAATAATTTGGTACCTATAGATATCTAGGCTCGTATTACATAGGATGATCTGTTAAACCGCGAAATTCGGCCGGTAAAATCAGTGGGTTGAGTGTAATTGAAGTGTAATCGACTATTGTATATAGGTACGTAATTAACATACATAACTATAATGTTCTTAAATATTATTACTTAAAATCCTTGACAGTTTTCAGTTTTGGAATATAATATGTTACTCGTTACTCATATTCAATTTAATTCAAATTAAAATAAGATTATAATCCCCTAATTATAATTAGCCTTTAGCCTCTCCAAATCCAAACGCTATTTGCGCCTATGCCGGGGTCTGATTTACCTGTGTGGTATAATACCTAGACTAGGCACTAGAGCTATGGTCTGGCTTAATCAAGCCCTGTGAGGGGAGATTTAATAATATTTTTTAGAGATCGTAATAATCATAATTTTTACATTCAAAATATAAAAAGTGTGTCACTGTATAATGGATGGTATTAAATTTGAATTCAATGATAATATAATATTATCATTGTATACGAAAAACGGTTCTGCAGAGCGGTGACGGTTTATTAGTATGGATATTTTATATTATATTTATATTGTTATTACTTATTATACTTAAATTATTAATACGTTAGCCGTTAAGTTAATATTATACAATTGAAACAAAATGACAAAATAGTTATTCTTGGTTGTTTAATATGTAATTTCCTCTGTATTTATGCACCAACTAGTTTCACTTTCATCGAAAAAGATACCTACTGAAGTTTAAAATGGTAGCATTATTTCGAGTAATTATAATTTATCGTGTAAGTACGCAAGTCCACTACACACACAAAAAAAAATTCATAAAAAAACACATTGTAAAATCAATGCCTTTATCGTTCAGTTCAGAATCTAAAAAAAGGGGGTTGTCGATAAATCGAGTGTATCTAGTCATTAACCCAGTGGCGGAATGGCGGATTGTCAACATTTTTCTGGGGAGTCCTGAACAATCATATGTATTTCAAAGGTATTTTTTTTATTTAAAACAAGTATTGACGGTAGGTCTGTATGTTTTAAAATATATACATCGGGTTTCTTTTACTAC